TTCCATTGTTGTTCTTGTAATTTCACATAAGATAATCGATCAATCAAGATAGTATATTCACGAATAAATTCGAGTTTCTCTTTTTCATTTAAAAAATGACCAAGTTTATCTATATCATTAAAGGCTGTTGACAACATATGAAAAAAGATTTGATCTGGTATATTTGTGTAATCGATCGAACTATTGTTACTTATCGATGTTTTCTTCGACGGTTGAACGGAAATTACGGAATGAATTTTATTTGTACGTATAAGATGCTTTAAATTTGGTTGCTTTGGTGAAACTAGTCCATATTGATATATATTTGCGTGTGTTTTGTTTTTTTCTACCATTGCTATTCCATCAAACATTGTCTCATTAACGGTTGAATTTGTTGTTTCAATATTGTGCTTCATAATCTCATTACTTTTTTCTGAGTCAATATCGACCCGTGCATCTGTTATGCGCATGATGGTATCTGGGTCCATACCTTGCTTGCGAAGTGTTCGACGATAACGTTGTAGTTTTCGATTTCCACGACTTTTCTTCTTTTGTTTATGTTGTAGCTCTTGTATGGATTCATCTTGACTAGAAAGACATGGATACCATCCTGGATAATATTGAATATTCGAATTTTGTGAATGATCAATCAGTTCATTATTAGTATGCTTGAAACTCATAATCAAAATAGTATATTGATTATAAAGAATATATCTGAAAGAGAAATCATAATGATAGATATGTTTTTTAAATATTAAACTGATAGTCAAATAAGTGTAGTTGGAAAAGATTATGTTATATATGTTTGTAATTCACATGATTGTTACGTGCTTTTATGGAAAATTTCGATTTTTAACTATACATGCTTACGTGATCGAATGCTATTTGAAGTAAGATTAAAGAATTCATTGTATAATATATCATTTTGATAATAAGACTAAAGGAATGATATTGTGTTGGTGTTGCTACGTGGAAGAATATCTTTGTCTTCTTTGTGGAAAATAAACAAAAGAGTAATCATTTGAGACATACAGAGAAGTGTTCTATGATCTACAATCTAAACGTATATTCCTCTTATGGTATTTTACATTCACTATCATTATTAAAGTCAAAGTATTTCTTACCTTACTAATTATATGTTGTTCATAGTCTGATGTTGAATTTGCTTTGTATGATAAGATCAACTGAATGTTCGCCTGTTGATAACCATGATTAACAATTGTCTTTGTATATTTGCGTATTTGTTTCTGTTTTCCTATGATTTTCTTAAAAAAATGCTTTGCTATTGTTCAATATTAAAAATAGAAATAATTATCTAGAATAGAATAGGAATACAATAGATTTTTTTTCCATTCATACACCTGTTTCTAGATTATGTTTAGATGAAAAAGAATAAAGAGTAAAGATAATATTGCTGAGAGTAAATGAATAGTTTTTTTCTGTTATGTTATTGCCAAAATTTGTAGTTGTTTTTTTTTCTTCTATATGATTAGTATTACGTGAAATATGTTTCCAGTTTATATTGAAGTAGATATTTAGCACGTTTTATCATATGTAATCGACGAGTCTCTCTGGCGTTGATCATTGCACTTTGCATTTCGGATGGATGAGACTCATAATAATTTTTGTTAAGATCAGTAAAGATATTTTGCCGAGTAATATCATGTTTTAATTGATTTATTTCTTCAAATTGATCATGTGAAAAATTTGTTAGCATATTCTGTTCAATAGTATGCTTTGGTTTTGAAAGCATTATATAAATATGATCAATCATGTGATCAAGAAGAGTAGATCTTGGGTGTGGGTGTGGGTGTGTGTTGGAGTGTGGCCAAGGGGGAAACGGCGGATCCTGAGATTCTGAATCCCTGTGAGTACAATGAAAATCCGGGGAATCCAAGGAGTACGTTAAGAATCTAAGGAAGCCATTATACAAATAAATCAAATTTAACGAAGATATCATTGTATCTTAAATATAATGAAATATACTTTTATTCAGCCCATGTTTTAAAATCTATTTCATCGAACATATTGTACTAACAAACTAAAATATGTGCTAAATACTTTCCAAATTAAGATATGTCATAAGTTCAATGACTAGTAATGATCTATTTTTTATTTCCATCTTTTGAAAACCTACTATAAGTACTAATCTGTATTGGCTACATATATTATACTCTGAATCTTATATTCGGTAATGCCTTCATCGACACTAATTTTTGATACATCCATCTTGCCAACAGATGCACTTTCTTTTTATGATGATAATTTTTATCAACTGGTTGAGAAAATAGCAGGACCAGGTGAAGCAAAACTATTAGAAGTTCAAAGTATTCGAAGTGTTTCTTCTTTTTTCAATATCGAAGACGTATTCAACATTCTTTCTTTCTCTTGTTCGGCTATAAAAGAGATAAAAAAATTAATTTATCTTGAAGATGATGATGAAAATTACATAGTGAAAGCAGGTCGTCGTAGCAACATTCGATATTTGTATCAACTTCTTCACCAAAAAAACACGAAGTGCATTTGAAGGAAACCACATCAAAGCAATTCTACAGCTATGAATCTTGCGAAAGATTCATCGCAAGATACTTCAGTAATATATTATCTGATTATCAATAAAGTACAACAACACCGAGTAAGCTTTTTTACAAATTTTTCGTTTAGTTCTATCGTTAAAGATTTATAGTCAACTAAATAATCACAATAGCAACTTTAAGAAATAAGATATTCTATATTATCTCAAAGACATTCTATATATGATGTATTGTAGTATTGAATTCTACTTTGATTATAAATCTGAAAGTTTAAAAAAGCACGATTATTAACTACGAAAAGCTGTGTTTATATTTAATACAGAAATCTTCTAGTGAGGACTACAAAATGGAGAGTTCTAGTATCCACCATAATAGTCGTTGATGTGTTCACTTATCAGATGATTTTATATACCTACGAATAACTTGGAATATTTCCTATTGGGAAAACAATATCCTTTGCTTCGTCATATGTAAATGCAACGAAAACTAGCGAATTAGAATTAAGTTGATGAGAAAACATAAAGTATCTTAATTCATCAAATATTCTATATAATAAGAGAATGATCATTTTGATATGATCGCACCGATAGGTATCACCACTGAATCCAAAAGAAACCTATGTATGTTACACATAAGAAATGAAATGCTACTTCGGTAACTAAAATATGAATTCTTTCTCATATAATATTAAGCCCTTCTATCTTGAAAACATCGTATAGCATCATATAATGAATAAACAACAGCTACATTTATCACTTTTTGATTCAACAGTAGAAGCAGACTTGGAATCGAGCCGGCAGACTAGTACTGGGCCGGCCGGTCCTCACCGGTATTTTACCGGTCTTTTTTTCAATTTTTAAAAATTTTTAAAGCGCTAAAACTTGCCTATTTTGTTCATTTTTACCGGTTTTCATGTTATCAATCGTTACGGGATATGATTCTGAAGATTTTCAATTGATACATTTTCACTCACTATCGAAATTTCAGCTTTATATATTCTCTAACACTTTTCCATCTCCGAAATGAGAGCTTTAGAGCATGTTTAATGAATTTCGGTATGCTTACGAAAAATTAGCGAGATATTAGAAACTAATACCGCTGGAAATTATAGATTTTTCACCTCCAATTTTTGAGCTTTGTTGACCAATTTTCGCCAATCCTCTTTTAATCGCAATAGCTAGTAGTTTTCAGGGTATGCTTTTATACTAAAATATTAGAGATGATTGCGTCTTGTAGCAGAGAGCTTATTGACAACTATCATCATGTAACTGTGAAAATATTTCGATATTCAGAAATCTTAAATAGCATGTGTAATATAACAAGTAACGCGCGTCGGAGCGACTCGCTGGACCCTCGACTGATAGCGACTAGTACACTTCCAAAAACAAATCATGGAGATGCACTCTTTTACTACTTATACCATAGTTTGTTAAATTGTTTCTCAATTTTCAGCATTATCCCGGGTGACTCGATGAATCCAACAAAAACTTTTTCTAGATAATAGCCGAACACCTGCATGAACAGTCTTATATCCGCAGCGGCTCGTCGTTCGTCGGCGTCCCTTCGGTCCGCCACTCCCGACTCACCGCTGCTAATCGATGATACTAACTGCTTTTCACTCTTTGCGTCACTCATCTATTGTTATTACACGATTATTTAAGAGTAGGCACTCTCTATGTATACTTTCCCATATAATGGTCGAGGGAGGCATATCGAGAAACCAATGGTGTCATCGGATCCCCCGCTCGCGAGCACTTACGATTATGGTTTTGAAAGGTTTTCCGACTAAATGTGTTTTGTTGACACCAACGTTCCTTTGAACTCTCCAGAAAGACAGACAAACGTTTTTCTCCTAGACCCTCCTTACAGTCGAGGAAAGAAAACAATCTCACTACTTCATACAATGCAATGCAGGGGTGTGTGATGCTGGTGGGTGTGGGTGACGGTGTAGATGTCGGTGTGATTATTTTGCTATTCGACATCCTCATCTAACTTTCCACACCATTAACCAAACTCGGAACCAACTCACCCTAACACGCACATCTATAACAACACTCTCAAACCTCAATTCTACAGTTTCTTTACTCGCAATTTCTGATTGGCCAACTCTATCATCCTCCGTTTCTGATTGGTCAACAAGTAACTTTCGTCCGAAAATTTGCTTAGTCCTTTTTCGTTGAAACGCCTTTTCTTCACATTTACTAGAAAAACAAACGAAAATCGTAAAAAATTGATTTTCGTTGTTCTTTTTCACCTACGACCTCTCTTCATTCACTCAACCCCAGATAGTGACCCAATCGTCCTCGGATTCGAAGTCTACTCATCGAAATACCTCTAGAAATGTCTTTTTCCGAAAAACTGTTTTCCATGTTTTTTTGACCTTTGACCTCTGACCCTCGACCCCCCCCCCCCCCCCCCCCCCCCCCCCCCCCCCCCCCCCCCC